ATTCTTATAGGACTGATAAAAATGTTGAATTTTCAGATAGTGTGTTGATTATTCAAGGAGATTCAATGAATAATTATAGTACTCGATATACTATTGATAGAGCTGAAGAGTTGAAAAAGAAATTGAAAATTGTAAATGTGTTCACAAGTAATTTAGATGAGGTTGTAAAATGGATTGTTAATAATAATATATGTTCATTAAATATCTCTGGAGCAAGGAAAAGTAATTTATTAGGAGCAGATCTCCAAGTGAAAATGGTTTGCAAAAAGTTTTTAAATAATATTTATGATGAAATTTTCAAAATAATGGATTTCTGGTTTATGATTCGATCAGGAAGTTTTATACTCTTGGTCCGGAAGGTTCTTTTTCGTATTTTACTGCACAGGAAATTTTTCAAAAAATGTGTGAGAAATGTGCCAATGTTGAAATGGTTCTTTTAAAGGAAAAGAGCAAATTAATTAAAATCTACCAATAATAAGATCTGATGAGTGTCTGCTAGTTCCCACTAAAGTGAACAGAGTTAATATGTTTGAATACAATCATTTATTTGAAAGGTTTAAAGTTAAATTAGAAATTGAGACACCTGTAAGGTATGCATTACTCTCAAAATAAAATAATATTTCAGGAATAGAAGAATTGTATAGTCACAAATTAGTAAGTAATAGTTACTAGTTGTTTTAATTTAAAAAGGAAAATATTTTAACTAAAATTTATTTTTTATGCTTTTGAAGAGTGCAAGAATTGGATTTATATAAAGTTATCAAACGTTAGGAAAATAATCATTGGATCAACCAGCGAAGCAGCAAAAATAGCTTTGTTTTCTCATTCTGCGTCACTTTCAAATATATTATGTTCAAAGTTGTATAATCATAATGTCTTAAAAACAGATATTTGTGATTTATCAAATAATAAAACCACATTTGTAATTGTGAGCAATTACGAAGGATTAAAAAGATTAATAAAAATTTAAATATTTTTCTAAATATTTATTTAAAAAAAAAAAATCAAAGAAATAGAGCTTAACATGATTAAATGTAGTGATGTGAACCAAACATTGAATAGATAATATAAATAATCTACAGATTATTTTAAACTGTTTAATTCAGCCAGCATTAAAATAATTCTGGCCCATGGCAAACATAATTCTGCCCGGAATTATGAAGAAATTTTAAGCACTTTTTGACTATTACGCGAGAAATCTTCAAACTTTCTAAATAAATATAAATAGAAAATCTATTTTCGTAATAATTGGAAAATATTATTACCGTAATAATGAAAGGCAAAATGGAGTAGGATCGAAATGGTTCTATAAAAGTGATGCTATGATCATATGATCTTACGGACCTGTGGGTCTGTTAAGTCAAGCGATATTATTAACTTTTAGATACTTTAATAAAAAGAGTATGCTAATATAGTAATATAAAACTATATAAGCAGTTCAAAAAATTTGAGCATTAATTATACATCTAAAACTACGAAATAACGCGCAAGGGTGTAATTTCGAATTTTAGCCTAAATTAAGCTTAATTTGGGCCATTATTCAAAGTTACACCTTTGTGTATTATTTTATAGTTTTACGATAATCACCTTATCGTTATGCATATCATAAACTGGCACACTTATATCATAATTTAATCCAATTAAATTCAAGTATTTGTACATAATATACATGCTCATGACCATATACTTCATTTTACTACATTTAAAATAATTATTTCAAACCTAATATTCACCAAATAAGATGTATAAAAATAATATGTAACTAATATTGCCTGATCATAACTCATTTGTACCAGAGAAATCCTTGTTATATTAAAATGATATGTATCCACAATATTAAATGTAATGTTGAGTTTTCAAATAGCTATCATGTAAATCAAAAATACTGTATACATTCAATGTTTTATTCAACCTTACATCCAACCTTAAATTTAATCTTACATTCAAACAGCATTTAACCTAGCATTCAACATTGAATTCAACCTTGTATCTAAACCAATTAAAAAAAGAGGACCTAAACCAAAGTCTACTATAAAATCACGTACAACTCTAATGCTATCTAATTTATTAAATCCTCTTGATTAATCCATTATTATATCTTCCATCTGATGGCAGTTATAAGTATTCTAAAAGTTTTTTTTTCATATCGTTATAATGAATAATTTAAATATTTTTTTGAAATTACTTAATGTAGTCACATGATTTTTATTATTAAACTTAAACTCCCTGTACTCAAAATTTGACTAGATGAGCAATTGTTTCAGTATTCTTGAATCTAATTGGTTTATGCAAATCAATTTCTATTTAGAAAAATTGATTACAGTATTATCATTATGCATTTTCTATAATACTTTGTCTATTCTTGGTAAAAAATTACGCCAAAAAACAATTACCGTTACCGTATGATTTGAACTTTTTTTCATTTTAATAAAATTATCAAAAACATGATTTCAAAAGAAATAAATAATGTTGGATTTTCTGACTTAAAAAAAATTGGTGAAGGAGGATTTGGAATCATATCTAAAGCAATATGGAAAAGACAAAGTTATCAGTTAGAGATTACTGTTGCTATAAAACAATTAAAAAATGAAATGATATTGATAAATTTAAACAAAAAGTAAGAACTCATGATATTTGATACAAGAAGATTTTAGTATATTATGTTAATAACAGAATATTTATTTTAGCTCAAGATCATAAAAAAAGTTTGCAAAAATCCTAAACGCTGAAACATTATTAAATTTCACAAAACTACAACTATTCATAATAATTCCTTTAACATGGTTTTCCAATTTGCAAATAAGAGTGACTTACGAACTTATTTAGAAAAATCATTTGAAAAACTTACATGGATCCAAAAATTACAAATGGTATATGAAATATCAAAAGGTGTTGAATTTTTAGATAAAAATAATATTATTCATCGAGATCTTTTTTTTTGGTATTAAGGTGACCCCTTCGGTCAAGTACTTTTATTATTGTATGGACTATTTTTACAACTAG